ATAGTTTTTTGCAATCAAGCCAACCTTATTTATCCCTCCATCTATAGTGCTTACTATTGTAAAAATATTTTATACAAATGTACAAATAAAAATGTAGGTAAGCAATTGTCCACAAGTGATTTTCAAATATTATATATTTGACCATTTCTAAAATGCTAGTGACAACCGCTGCTTTACAAATACCATACACTCGAAATGCCATGGTATTATAGGTCTTGACTTTTGATTTACAAAACTCATACAATGGGAGTATGTGCACTGTACTATATATTGTAATTATATGTTGAACATTAGTGACTATTTTTGTATAGTCACTTGTTTTCAACATTTAGGTTCCTCTATATTATCATCCAATATTTCATATATTTCCTTTTAGACATAATATAAAATACAATTTTTTAAAAATCTTTGGATTTAACATTTTTGCTAATCAGCATGGATTTCTAACGTGCTGCAAAAGACACAAAGCTACAATAAAGTAATAAACTGCAGCAGTAGTTGGCGTATAATTGTTACAGGCGTGTTCCATTTCTTCCGAAAACTAAAAAAGCTGCACCGCGTGGATTCTGTGGTGTTTTTCGTGTACCGCACGGCCATTGACCAGCCACTAGGTGTCCTGCCTGTCTGGTGTAGTCTACGGGCGTTCTTGGTGCACTGGCTTTGGTACTGTATGGTCATAAATGTGGCGTACAAAGCATCGCTGGGCAGCTTCATGACGGTACCCGCGCACGGYGCAGAGTTCACTCGGATGGACGAGATCCTGAACTCTCAGTTGATTACGATGGCCACACCGCGGTCCATGCACATAATGAACGCGACGACGGCCACCACGCGGATATCGCGGACGTTCATGGAGCGGCTCCAGCTGTTGCCGCCTACCAACTTTGAGCAGGTCATCGATCGGCTGGTGGTGAAGCGCGACATCGCTCTGTTTGAGGTCAAGCGGTTCATGTACTACTTCTCCATACCCCAGGCTAAGCGCATCAAAGTCAAGATACCCATACGGTTCCTGCCCGGCTGTCTGTTGCGCACGCACACCACTCAGTTCATGTTCAACGGTGGTTCGTACCTCATCGAGCCAGTCAACGCCGTGCTCAGCACGCTCTTCGAAACCGGCATTGTCGACCACTGGATCACACACTTGGGCTCCAACAAGGTGTTACCGCTGGAGAAGATCCGTGGCCGCGTACTTAAACTAGTGCGGCTCAAGGAGGCGTTCCTGTTTTTGTTTTTCAGCTATGCCGTGGCGTCTATCGTGCTCGTCGTCGAAATCTGTTGGTCCACGAGACTGCACCGCCGATTGGTGCGGCTAGTCCTGCAGCAGCGACACCCTGTCCGAACCGGCACGGCGGCCACAAGAAGTAGTAGCAACACTGGCCGCAGATCCACCCGCAATAACAGCGTGTTTCCGTTTGTTCACTGATGTATGTTGTCGAATTGTTGTGTGCACAGTTTTATTGTTCTAACTTACAATACATTAKGCATATAAATAGAATAATGAAAATTCCATGTCATTTTGAACTTTGAGGTCTCGAATAGTCGAATYGCGTAACAAAGATAAGCTGATGGATCATTACCGAATACGAAGGTAAAGTAGACTCCGATAGTCGTACATAGTTTAAGTCGCATAATCAGTGTAGTTGTACCTGTAATGTCCAAGTCGTTATAAATACTTCGTAATGTGTTACATTGTTGTCATTATTATTGAAAATACTTTCAAAGTCAGAAGAACAACAATTTAAATTAACATACTGTGGTACTTTTTTTTATATAATACCTTATCAATATGTTACAATATTACAATAATACTATTAGTGTATCCAGTATTTTACATGTTTTAACAAGTTTTTATTTAGTTYTGCATTCCCAAACTTATAYAAYATATAAGGCTATATATAAGCCTGTGGCTTACAAGGCATTATAGGAAAGGAAAAGTACCAGCATCTTCAGCGTAATCCAAACGAAGTTGTTCTAAGGTTTATTGTTAATTTTAAAATATTTCATTATAATGTTTATTGCAAATTGAATATATATAATATAATATTTTTTTGATAAAGAAAAGTTAATATCAAATGAGCGAGTTTTGAAAAGTAAAAATATATTTGAAAATTTTCTTATATAACTATAAGTCCCTAACCTAACCTGTACTAAGTAATCATTCTAGTRTTGAAAGAAAATAAATATTTTAATTTTTCTTTATTGTCTTAGTCATTCATGTAGCTTGCTTTGTTGTATTGTTTAAATTCTTTTCCACGAAACAAGAGATTATTAATGTTATTTATGTATTTCCGTAAATTTAAGTGTTTTATTTAAAAAAAAATTTTTATTTTTTTTTATTAAAAGAAACTTTGTAAACAATTAGCTTCGACAATTATGATTATAAATATTACATATGAAAGCAAGATTAACAACAAAAATAATATTACAGATAAATTAAATTTTTAAACCAGTCTGGTTGAAGAAGGATAAAAGTGAGGTAATAATTGGTACATTTGGTGAAGAGAGAATGGATTGARTGTCGAGTTTGATATTAAAGGAGTGAATTARGGTGAAGAGGGTATTGCGTTGGGGAACCAGAGAGGGACAGTGAAAAAGTATGTGTGAGATATCACAAATCATGGGATCGTGAACGTGGAACATACATAAAGGAGAGTCATTGAGAGAAAGTTTATAAGAGTGAGAAGGTAGTAAGGTGTGTCCAAATCTTAGACGTGAAAAAGAGGTAATTATTTTACGATTTAATTTGAGGTTGTGAAACCAAGGATGAGAGGGGATAGATGGTGAGATATTTTTGTACCAAGAGGCATAATTAGGGGCTAGATTGTTCCATTGGTTGCGAAAAAAAAAAAAAATTTAGTTATATGTTTTGAAAGTTTATCAGAAGAACTAGTATCCAGGACTCAAAATGTTCAAATCGGGGGTATTTTTAAATTTAAGTTCACTGATTTTTGAAAAATACAAATCATTAGGTGAAGATAATAAAAGAAATGCCCATGGCTTCACTTGGAAATTCAAACTAAGCACCCAGAACGTAATATCTTAATTTTTAAGCTGTCATTGAAGAAAGTGGGGTAAAATTAGAAAGCAGAAAACGAGGTTTGGAAGGGATTATGTGGTAAGAAGGGGATTACCAGTTACCTTTTTCCATACATCCACTTTACATCACACCCTCTCAAAACATCTCTTACTCACTTGACCCTATCTTAGCCCCTTAGACCCATTTACCACTTTTACAACCCCTTAACATCCCTTTTTCACATACCCTTACTCTTTAACCCCTTTTCTCCCCCTTGTGTTACACACCCTAACCTTCTAAGCCTTTTTTAACTCTCCAATCCGTCCAACCTCTTTTACCACCCCTTCCGCACATCCTAACCCTAATTCTTTTGCCTAATTCCTTCACAAAAACCTTTTACTCCCACTCCTTAATCACTGTAGTCTCTTTCCACCCTTATTCCTCTTTACCTTAACCCTTAGCCCCTTTTATAATCATTCATAGACCGGTATATCCCTCTTCCACACTTTTTAACCCTCTTAATCACACCCTTACCCCTTAGAATTCTTCCCACTTCGCCTAAAACCATTAAGTTTACTCATCAAAATTTACTATTTTACTGGTATTATTTCTTTAGTTTGTCAAATATTCCACAATTAGGCCATGAAACTTAATAAGAACATTTGACTAGTTATTTCATTTTTGAATTCTCGAATCCATTTATCAAAGAATTGATTGGGTTATCCATAAAAGCCATGATATTATTATGAAAAATAGCAAACAATTATTAAAAAACGACTCTTTTTTTAATTGCAGATAAATAAATAACACATAAATAATTACCCGCTGTTTTAATACAAGGGTATTTATAGTAGTTAATAAATACATAAAAAATAAAAATAACTAAGTTCTATAAATTATAAATATTTTGTAATAAAATAATATCAATTTTAATATGTTTTATCTCATAAAACCTTTTTTTTAATGTTCACGACATTTGTACTTTAAAATTTATATCGATAACACCTCCCTATAGTGGACATTTCAATAATTCTATATGTATATTTTCTATACTGAGATTTCACTGTAGTTAGTATAGTACAGATGAAATTGATTGAAATATAATATAGGATCATATTAATTTTGAGAAGATTAACAAGTGACTATACATATTTCATTTTATACAGCTTTAATAAGAAATACCCAAAAAGATCTACATTAGATAATCAATTTTTGTCTTATGATGGATGTTACAAGGGTGTCACTGTCAATTATTTTGGCCGAATCATTATCCCACGCTGACTTCCATCGAGAACGGTCTTTATCGCATGTCACAATCAACTCCTTTGAGTATTGTGTTGTTGTCCAGTTTAAAACATAATTGCCACCAGCACAAGTTATAATAACTGAAAACCAAAATAAAATGTTATTAAAAAATCAACATGTATAATTTACCTTAGCAATACACTACATAAATTATAAGTGAAGACTAGATTTAGTTTAAAATGCATGCTACTATTTTCTGCATTATAAAATAAAACATAGGTACAGTATAGCTGTAGTCAATGATTTTTGCTTATTTTGGATGTTAGTACAAATTCTTAATTTAAATTCATTTTTTCTGCATAATATGGGCGTATAATTTTATTTAATCACTAAAAATTTAAAAATATTAATTTAATTTAAACTATTTTTCAAATGCATAGACATTTTATTATTTACTATTATCTTCGATTATAGGTATCAATGATAAAAATATTATCTTTAAATATTGTTATAATTCACTCTTAATTTTAAAAACAACAAGAGTAAAATAGATTATTTTGAATCCAAAATTTATGATATATGTTTGTTAGACAGGAATAACATATCTGGATTTTGAGTTCTCTTAAATAAAAATAATTAAATTATATAATGCATAATTCATATTTTTTCTTGGATATTTTAACATTTAAAAGTGCATAATTAGTACATAAATATTCAATCTTTAATTATAAGTAAAAATTAAAAAGATCACTATGATAAGCAAAACACTACCTTTCATTTCTTGGGGACCAGGTTTCACTGATGGAGTAACCAATACATTATATCCATCTAAGAGTCTCTTGGTCTTTGCTTTGGCCAGTGATTCTTTTAACTGAAACTTGTATTTTCTTTCTGCATCTTTATCCACAATTATAAAATCATCAACGTCTACAAAAATGTTTAATAATATTATATTATACACAATTGATAATAATAAACACTCAAGAAAAAAACCTTGAAACATTTTAACAGTGTAAGAGTGTTTGAGCCAATTGGTATTGACAATTGGACATCCTCTGGCTATTGCTGACAGTATTTTCATTGAACACCTTATCTTGTCTGTTACCAATACTGAACACTGTGTAATCTCATCTGTAACCGTACCACCTAATAACAATAGAGCATTTAGCATTAATAAATACAATTCATATTTAGGGCACTCAGCATAAAAGTATTATTACTGTATTAGTATACCCGTTTTGCCAACAAATTGTTTCATTTCTTGCAAGTGACGACTCTTAAGATAACTAAAACTAACAACAACTTCTGATGAATTTTCAACCTAAAATTACAAAAAATTATACCTTGTTAAATTTATTTGTCAAATTTACATTTTAAATAGTAAAACCACATTGAACTGAATATATATTTTGTAGTCAATATTTATTCTACATAATGAGTGAACTATTGATTATAAATATAGGGTGTTTCTTAAACATGAACAGAATTTAAATGAGTGGTATTTTTTCGACTTCATGGTAGGTARCTCATATAGTGAAACTATGAAGTATTTATTTTAAGGATGCACAAATTAAAAAATTTAAAAGTTCAAACTTATAATACAGTCATAGATACAATCTATTTTACATTCAAAACAGTGATATCATGTTCAAGAAGAACTGTAATAAACAACTAGAAAGTGTAATTAGTKCTGAAAAAACTAAAACTAAAAATATTTCTGATGGGATTTTTTTGAATGTCATTAAAKTATTTAATGTTATTAATCAAATAACTAAAATAATTTGATAATGCCATTCATAAAAAAATGTATTAAGGATAATATCTTATATGAAATATATATATTATGAAACTCACCAATGGTTCTAATATTTTACTCCTGTTGCATATTTTTTTGTTGCTTTCTACATCACCATTTTGCTTTCGTTTTCTAGTTATTGCTCTTGTCTGGTACCTTTCTATATTATTTTCCTTAATTTCGGGCGTGATTTTAATACTTTTTTGCTTATCATTTTTTCCTTTAACCTGACTTTGTACTTTTTTCTTATGCCAAAATGATTTCCATTCATAAGCATTATTACTAGAAGTAGATGGTTCACAGTTTAAGGTATTTAAATTATTCTCAGTGGTTTTTGGAGATGAATGATGTTCTAACAATGAGTTTGCACTTACATCAGGTATATTTAATGGACTAAATATGGATTCATTCAATTGTTTCATTTGGTGATTATATTTAGGGGAAGTAGATACTTGACATTGTAAAGAATCATCAGTAAAATGTTTTTGCTTAGTAGATGATGAAGTGTTCAAATCATTTTTGTTCTTAGTAATAGATTTTGAACAACCAGGGGAATCAAAGTTTTTATTTAAAGGCACTGTAGTATTKATATTATTAAACACAGCATTTTCATTAGATTTATTTAAGATTATCATAGAATTATTGCTTGAACTACCAGAATAGGACACAATATGTAGATCTTCTCTAACCCGAATTTTTGGTTTATTAATTCTTAAATTATTTGAGGATTTCTCATTACGAATAACTGGTAGTTGGACATTTGATAGACTAATTGTACTAGATTCAACACACTTTGATTTTTGAACGTTACATCTGTCTTGATTGTCAGGTTTGACTGTTTGTTTATGATTKTTTGATTCATCTGAAACAAAATAAAAATTTAACATAMATGGAATCCAGATAATTAGGTTCACTTTAAACATGTTATTATGGTACTTACCAAAATGTTCAAGATTAATAGTTACATCTTCATTCATGTTTATAGAACAATTTGAAATAGAATTTGAATGAACTTTATTAAGCACTTTTTGTGTTGTAAAATTAACAATATTTCCTTTATGATGTTTTATATTACTAGGCAAACTTATTTTTGATCGCATCAACGAGTCTTGAGTTTCACCTCCATTAATAATTGTAGGAACTGATTCATGTTTCCTACTACCCATTGATATATTAGAATTACTATTACATAAAACTTTTTGAGTAGGGCAGCTAAAAAAATCTTTAATGGTAGAATCAGTCTTAGAAATATTAATATTTGTCTTATTGAGTTGTGTAATCTCTGGAGATTTTTGTGTGTTTTCTTCGTGTATTGTAGTAAATACATTTGCTGGATTTATTTTTTTAGGGACTAAGATTTTTTGAGTAGGACAATTGAAAAAATCATCATCAATTATGGGAATCCGATTTGAATCTTCATGTTTACTAGTGGTATAAATATTTTTAATAGGTTTTGGGAATTCTAAAAGTTCTTGTGTTTCTTCTACATGTACTGTAGAAGATACTTCTAGCTTTGGTTTTATAGTTTTAATAATTGATAATTTTTGTGTAGGACAGTTAAAAAAGTCATCATCCATATCTGGAGCCTCTGTTAAATCTTCATGTATATTGGTGGAATAGGCCTTAGAAGTAATTATAATAGTTTTTTTGGGTTGGGTTAACTCTGAAGGTATTTGTGTTTCTTCTTCATGAATTGAAGGAGATACATTTGGTTTAGAAAACATATTTTTATTAATTGATAATTTTKGTGTCGGACAATTGAAAAAATCATCGTCTATTTTGGGAATCTGTGTATTTTCATCATTTATACTGGTTGAATCACTTTTTGACAAAATTGAATTATTTTTACCAGGTTTCGAAAATTCTAAACGATCTTGTATTTTATCATCACGTGTCGATGAAGATGCTTTTGGTTGTGGATTTATCTTTTTAGTAATTGATAATTTTTGTGTAGGACAGTTAAAAAAGTCATCATCCATATCTGGAGCCTCTGTTAAATTTTCATGTATATTGGTGGAATAGGTCTTAGAAGTAATCGTATTAATTTTATTGGGTTGGGTTAACTCTGAAGGTATTTGTGTTTCTTCTTCATGAATTGAAGGAGATACATTTGGTTTAGAAAACATATTTTTATTAATTGATACTTTTTGTGTCGGACAATTGAAAAAATCATCGTCTATTTTGGGAATCTGTGTGTTTTCATCTTTTATACTGGTTGAATCACTTTTTGACAAAATTGAATTATTTTTACCAGGTTTCGAAAATTCTAAA